ACCTTCATTGTGGCTCTTATGCAGAAGGACCGTCGTAGGGAAAAAAACAAAGGAATGCAAATGTTGACAATGGGATTTTCAATCTACAAGGTATTACTTACTATCAATCACGTGACTTTTTGGAGTTGACTGAGGGACAACTAGTGGATGTTAAGTCAAAAAATAAGTCCCCAAACTATTTTATTTGACTATTTCTAAGATATGAAACCAGAAAACAAGAGATCAAAACAACCTCCAAGATTCTATAAGCCATTAAAAATGTAGCTATTATTGGAAATGATGTCTATTGATAGCAACCTATGGAAAGCTAACAAAGATCTACCTTTGGAGGGGGGTGGTGAGGTCAGGGGTCGGGACGATCCCAGATCACCATATAATAGCCCTCTCCCGAGATATGTTTTGCTTGTCACACACAAAGGTTTCRGTATTCTTTTCTCTTGTAACGAATAATTTATTGAGCATTATGTAGGTATGTATGCATTGAAACCTTTGTGCATGACAAGCAAAGCATATCTCAGAAGTGGGCTTTTACACAATAGAAATGTATAGATATCTTAGAAAATATATCCACTTCAAATATCTTAAAGATCAAGTTCATTCTAACTTCTGTTTCATTTCAGATTGATGATCCAAAATCAACTGGATTGTTGGACAAAGAATTTTTCATGTACCATGCATCAGCTGCACGCTCACCATCTTTCATCAACAGCCGTGAGATTGTTGGAAGATACCAGCTCCCTCCTGGTGAATATGCCATTATTCCATCAACCTTCAAGCCTTATGAAGATGGAAAGTTCTTACTAAGGATATACTCTGAGAAGCCCCATCAAACCAGGTGATAATCATCATTGACAGTTTGTACAGCACGTTTATAACTTTATTAAGTCAAAGCCAGTGGGTGAAGGGGAGCTACTCAGTATATCAAAGAAAATTCTAATTATTTATTGTGATTTATTCTTGTTTTTAGTGAAGTGGACCAAGAAACTAAATTTGCCACAAGAAGGGACAGAAGGGTAATTTAAAAAACTATATTAATGTACAAACTGTGTGTGGGAAGCATGGTGGAGTAGCGGTAAAAGTCCCGCGTTTGAATTTGTTGGTTCTCTCCTGTGCTTCAAGGGATTTTTCCTGGTTCTCTGGTTTTCTTSCCTCCACAAAAATTAACTCTCAAAATTAAATTCCAATTCRATCATAGAATGAGGKCCACAGGTTTATTAGCCACTGGCCATCAAGTGCTACCTTCATAAAACCAACCATTATAGACTCTATCCAACAGGGAYRTGAGAAAGGCGGCTAGGGGGGCTATAGCCCCCACACTTTTTGAGAAWTTTTTTTGAAATTTACCTTTTGTGATAATTCTAAAATACTCACATTTATCAAACTAAATTCTTATATTCAAAAATTAGAGAAGCACGATGCATACAGCAGGGGTGCACTTTCTATTTTTTCAATGTAGACTAATTTTCGGTTTAGTTCCCCTCCCCCCTCCAATAACAATATTATGCTCCTATATACGTCCCTGTCCAAGTGGCATTTCAAACATTGCATATCATTATCACTTTCAGCCTCAGATCACCAAAGAACAAAACTCCAGCCTTGATGCCAAGTTCAGAGAGTTCTTTGACTCTCTGTCTGGAGATGTAAGTAAAGTTTTTTGATTTGTATTTTTATTATTTTGTAAAAATGTGTTGTTCAGAACCTTTGCTTTGAATTGCCTGAATCTCTTTATATTTGCTATAGCAATATGAAAAACCACTAAGTAATGCCTTTTTTCATTTAATTTAGGATGATGAGATTGATGCTTTYGAACTGCAACAACTATTGACTTCTGCTTTCAAAAGAGGTACAAAATATCATGTCATTAAATCTACACTTACGTTACGAAATCCTAGCTTGCTTAATATAAATCAATGTTAATGTAATCATTAGGGCTAATTAGGGTTATTGCCACTATTACCCGACAACCCAGAATTTAGTAAATGTGGCATTTTGGATATCTTAAAACAGATCTCCTTCATGTAAGATGTTTCATGCAAGTATTTTTATTTAGACATATTTAATCACAAACAACACTTTTGCACTATTTAGTAGTAAATAGTGCTAATTAAACAATAGAAAACAATAGGATTAGCATAATTTAGCAGTATTTAGTGGTATTTATGTTACACACTTATAGTATTTGTACTCTAACCCCAAGAGCAAAAACTCATCCAGGGTGTCTATATATCTATTTACACATGAAACTAAATTACATGGAGTACATAGGTCAATGAAAACAGAATAGTAATWATAATAGATACATTAGCAAAATAGAAGATGATGAAGTGAAACAAAATTAGGGCAAAAAACTTGTTTATTTAGAGTCTATAGTATATATATTTGAGTTCTTATCTCCATGTACTTATTTATTAAATTTTTTGTTTTTAAGATCTTGATGATGGTGATTTCAGCTTGGAAAGCTCCAGGACTATCATTGGCATGTATGATGTATCCTTGACATTTAGTTTATTTACTATTTATTCTTATCTATTCAGGATTACTGGTGGTGAGTAATGACCGAGATGTTCACTTGTAGTGGTTCAAAAAGGGTAAAGGTACTTTGATAATGCAGGGGGTGGCTGCTTAAGTCTCCTGAGCCAGAGGCTCACATATAAATCACTCAAAAAAGGTGTGCCCTTTATCTCGTCAGACTATCAGTGCCCCTTATTACGAGTGTTTAAAGCTAAAGCTACACAGAACAGATGTAGAGGTCCTGAGGATTAACCCATGTATCTCTACCTCCGAAGGTTATATACAGGGTGTTTATGAGATGACTGTTTAAACAGAAGATGATTTTTGATTAGTGATGATGCTGGTAATCAGGATAGCGTTGTTGATGATGATGATGATACTTATTATTACAATAAAGGCAAATACAAGTTGTTATTACAGTTTAGTCCTTAATAAAATCTACAGAAAGACTTGAGTGGAAAACTGGGATTTGAGGAATTCAAAGAAACAATGCTACAACTGAAAAAATGGAAGGTACCCAACTAAACTAAACCTACTTTGAGTCTGTAGTTTTGAAATATTATCTTCYGAGTCATGTGGATGATGATTTTAATGACTCTTTATTGATCTCCTTCAGGCTATCTTCAATGCTAAAGATACAGATAATTCTGGTTCCATGGATGCCTATGAACTTCGCACGGCAACAATTGATGCAGGTGTGTATGTCAACCACATTGTAAGCATGAAAAGTTATATGCATTGTGGAGTCAAATCAAAGTCTTCTTCCTCTAGTTCCATTCAACAGTTAGAACTTGTAATGGGAAATCTCTGAGATTTCCCTTATGTGATTTAAATTTGTCAGTTACACTTCCATAAAACMTGGGAAAGCCATTCCTGTTTTTAGCTATATATTCATACAATTATTACGTTAACTAGTTATACCAAGGCTCCATATTTCATAAAGGAACAACACTGCACACCCCACACCAACCTTTCTGTCATATAGGTTTTGATTTCTCACCACATTTTCCCCAAAGCTCTAGTTCTTTTGAAGTAGTGGCTTCTCCACTTTTCCATTGTTCAGTTTACTAAATGGTTCTTCATGGTATTGTCTAAGGTTTCTCCTTGAGTAACAAGATCCTTACAGCCATAGCAACCCGCTTTGCCAACAAGAAGGGACATATTAGCTTTGATGACTTTGTCCAGATCATGGTTCGCCTTAATGTTCTCTCGAGTAAGTTATGTAGAACTTAAGACCAATTATTAAGTACTGAGCTTGCTAACATTATTGCTGAAGTGCGACCCATAGAGTTTAATTTTAAGTTTYGCCAACTTAGTATTTCAACGACTGTCAATCAAAATAATATCTTGAGGGTGATCTTGGATGGAATTAAAGATTTTAGAAGATTAGAGGATTCAAATCTTTAGTTCAGTCTAAAATCTCCGTTAACATATTGTTTTTTAAAATTTCAATTCTTTGATTGACAGTCASTGAAGTTAGGAAACAGCAAACAAGATATTGAACTTTGCAGATCACACTTCAATGACAACTGTAGTTGTCATTGAAGTAACAAATTAAAGGTTTTCTTGTTAGTGATTAAACTGATCTTGGAAGTGCCTGTTATTAGTTTGTGTTATGAATTTATTTTTCTGTACTCTTATTATTTAGATACCTTTGAGAAGCATGAGAAACATGGCAATGCTAGCTTCAGGCTTGATGAGGTAAAGTATAGCACAACCTTATTAATGAATTAAGAAAAAAGATTAAAAATCTAAAAAAAAAACATCTATCAAGCTTTGGCTGTTTCATATCACASCGTGGGACAATCACAATTAAGCCAGTCTCTAACTAGGTGAAAGCCCAAAAACGAATTAGAATATGATTTATGAGGAGAGACAATAACTGGAGAATGTGAGAACACTCATAGAACAAGAGAGAACCAATGAACAACTATACACATATATTTATGATGCTGAACCCAGGATTTAAACTTGATCGAATGACTTTGGTAAGAGGGAGCATATTAGTGACTCAAATCACCTGCACTAAATTTAGTTTCATATTGTGCTTCTTCATTTTTGTGGCTTCAAACAGTAGTAAGCATGGGGAAGGTTATGTTACATACCAAACCTGATATGCACTATTGACATCGTGAATGCAATCAGTGAAAGGAAATAACGATTTCCCCAAACCTGGTCTGCACTTTTTTCCAGTATACTTTCTTCCTTGTTGACATTATTTCCATACAGTCAAGTGTACCATATTTAAAGCTTGGCAAGCAAAATGCAACATTCAGCAAAACCTTACCAACGTTTTTGAAATTAGCTGTATATTAGCCTTGTTGTAAACCTTTTCTAAAATGAATGAGTATGGTTTTACYATAGACGTATTTATCAATTAAACAGCTGATATGATGGGTACTGCAAACTGCATGAGATCAGTCTTTGGAAATCCCTAGATATTTGCTTGGAAGTGTTAAATYTGGATTATATATTAAATTAACAAAATCAATAATATTCTCTTGAAGTAAGAAACCTAATAATGCTAAAGATTATTGAAATACAGTTAAAATTGATCAACCACCATTTTTGGATCTCCCATTTTACTTAATACAATCCATATTGTTTTACACATGAAACAATATCTTCTACTCATTGAAATATCATTACTTTGCAGTTCTTCGTCAGTGGAATGGTTATCTAACTTTCTCCGTCATTCATTTACTCATGGTAACCTTAAGTTTCTATACATATTTACTACACTTGACGCACTTCTATAAACATGAATCACGAGTTTGCACTTCCAATTTACTCTCCAATTTCCTCTCCAATTTCATTCATTCACATATATAAGCAATTCAAACATGACCTCAAGACTGATACAAGCTTGYAATGTCAAAACAAAATAGAATGGTTTACATAAATCCATGAAACAAAGTGTACTAGTCAGATTAACAATAGAAAACAAATGAATCATAGACTGTAATAGTACTAAATAAGGTAAAAACATTTTATGGCTTTATGAAAACCACTCTAATCACAACATTATAAAAACAATTAGAATAGAGGCACAAGGAAAAGACCCATCTTTTCCTTGTTTTATGCTATTTTATGTTAGTGTTACGCTCCTATTTTGTCATGTTGCAAATCTGCACCATACTTATACAGCATTATAAAAMATTTTGGCTTGCTATTGTGTTTATATCAGAGGACATGTGTGTACGATTTTATGTGCCTTAACTAAAACAATTACTCCGATTTGAAATGTCCTCAATGTTAAGATTTACCTTTTGCTGTAGATTTTATATTATAAAAAGTATAATTTTAAGTGTAAGTGTAATTTTGGAAAATTGCAAGCTATATGAATTAAGGTTGTGCTTCTAAAGCCTTTGCTTWACCTGACATTTTTGTGTCTGTCACCCTATGCAAGTATTGATGTACTCTAATAAAGAAATAGAAAACACGTGCGCATGCTGTCACAAAGCATGCTGGGGTTGGCAGAACACGAGAGAAGTGTTAGGAGAAGTGTTCTCGATACTTCTCGAGTGTTCTGCCAACCCCCAAGTGCTTTATGACTGCACACAGCACAGCAAGCAAGTTTTTTATTTCTTTTATAAAATACAAATTACAATAATAGATAGGAATGACGCAACAGAAAGTGCGCGTGCGTGCAATGTGCTCTCATAAAGCACACGCTCCAAACCAATCAGAACACGACATTCATAACAGTTATTTTATAATTATATTTTCAGTTCCTTACRAGCAATATGTGTCTCTAAAAGAAGCAGCAAAGTACAAGATTTTTTCACCAATACCTAGTTTTCATTCAAGTTTACTTGTAATTCCCAATGATTTTTGAAATTATGTAATCGTTTTAAAAGTAAAAATACATTTTCCTTAAGTAAATTATGTAGTGAGATCCTTGGTAAAAAGTCCAGGTCTGTTCTTATAATTAAGAATTATTGCTATGTGCACATTATAGAAGTGTAACAACAGTGTATAAAGGTTTGATACCCTTTTTACTACTAATATAAGACTCTTTGTATTTTCGTGTAAGTTRAGTTTGGTAGTATTAAATAAAGAGACACTAAACTTTTTTAATTTGAGTTTATTTCTTGAGCCAGGMAACCAAGATGATTATTTTAAAGCATACAAGTACAGTGATGTTTAAAAAGGGCACTTACTGGCTGTTTTCACTAGACATTTATCATCGCTGTCATTATAAATCAAACTTTCTTTGTTTGGAAATTAAATTCATTAGTGTCACAACATAAACCCTGTTATATTTCTGTAACTTGCTGTAAATTGAAATAAATTACCTTCACTGGCATGAYATTTTTCGTGGTATCTTTTTCCTGAAAATCAAACCCTTTGGTGTCCTGGAATTTGTTCCCTTTCACTGGCTACAACTGATCTATGTATTCTTTGCTGTACCTGGTAATCAAACCCCTTGCCACCTTGACATTCTTCCTGGAATTCGTTCCCTTTCACTGGTTATAACTGATCTATTACTTTCTGTACCTGGTAATCAAACCCCTTGAAGTCTTTACTGGCTGTAATTGATYTATTTATACCTTGCTGTACCTGGTAATCAAACTCCTTGGTGTCTTTACTGGCTGTAATTGATCTATTTATACCTTGCTGTACCTGGTAATCAAACCCCTTGAAGTCTTTACTGCCTATAATTGATCTATTTATACCTTGCTGTACCTGGTAATCAAACTCCTTGGTGTCTTGACATTCTTCCTGTAATCTGTTCCTTTTCACTGCCTATAACTGATCTATTTGTTCTGGCATTGGTTTCATGACATTCTTCCTGGAATTCATTCTGGTAATATCTGATCTATCTTTAACACTCCTTGTCTGGATAAACCTCTTGTATTTAGACTTTTGACCAGGAACACAATGATCTTGTGTTGGGAAAATCTCTGTGCCTTGTTATAGTGTACTTATGATTTACTTGTTATCCTATCACCAATGACTTATATCAACATTGTGCCAGTTGATAAGACATCATTTGAACCACGTCTTTCTTGTTAGCATCATCCCAAAACAAAGACTAGACTTTTCTTTCAAGTAATTTTAATGTTGTAAACAGCTTTTTGCACTCTTTTTTCTGGTAGATATTCAATGGACWGCATGACTCATACATCTCATACATAATATGCATATGGCCACCCAAAAAGCCATGAAGAGATCAAAGAAAAGTAGAAAAAAAGCTTTTTTGGGTAACTGACTTGAATTCACAAAATGCTATATTAGATAAAAACTGCAGCTCTGAATTTTACTAAGTTTAATGTTAAAGAAGCTGCACTTAATTAGTTCTTTTGAGAAATTATCTTGAATGATCAGTGTTTATGCACTTTGATTTTTTCATTGAAAAATGTTTTGGAATGAATTACGTTCTACATGGGGTAGAAAATGCGAAGAAAAAAGTATTTGCAGGACTGAGTGATCTGTACATTGTAAACAAATTATGAACATACACCAATTATTATATAYACAAACACAAGCCTTAGAACTTGAAATCCTTGTATTTCTTGGCAGCTTTTCCACTGTCTGTGGCTTTTTTTCGTTTCTGTAAAATACAATAAATGCAGTGTATGCATAAAAACCATGGCCCTCCAACAACTTTAACACTTGTTAATGAAATATATATGTAATGAAAGGTCGGGAAGCACAGGTGGTGTAACCCTGAGAGTGTTCGTCTCTCTCCAAATATGTGACCAGGGTTGGAATCCAGCTAGTCTTGGCGTCATATGTGATTAGATTTGTTTGTTAGTTCTCTCCTGTGCTTCAAGGGTTTTCTGGGTTCTCCAGTTTTCCTTCCTTCACAAAATTCTATTTTTTGATTTCAAAACTCCAGTTTCGAATTCTCTGTTCTACAGGAATAGCCTCGATTCTGTATGGAATTACTTTGAATTTTCATGTATTCCAGTGATGGTTGATGGAATTTCAAAGTGTTTGTGTTGTTGTAGTTGCGCATTCTTTACTTTGTCGTTGGTATTTGGGAATATTTGGGAACTGAAATGAGGCTAACCCTGTATAAAGGATGAAGGAACACAGCAGTTTTTGAATAATTGGAAAATGGTCTGTTGGAATTCAGTAATTGAAGAGCTACTCCTCGGAGATTTTCCTCAACCTTGGAATGGCTAATAGGTTTATAGTACTTATAATTATTGATCTTATCATAATTATTGGATTTCAGTATGGTTTATTAATTATACAGTACTCATAAAGTGGTTATCAGAAGTGCAGAACAGTGTATTGAATGAGAATAATACAATACAAGATTATTTGCTCATAATTTCAAAATTTGTTACAAAATTGTTGAAGTAAAACAAAAACAAATATAATAAAACATAAAAAATAAAATGAGGAAGAAAAAAGTTTGAAATAACATTATGAGCCTGTGATCTAAATTAACCATGAGGTCTTTTCTGTTAGACCCCAGGAGAAAGAGAAAGAGAAAGAACATCAGACAAAAACTAGGGATCATCATGTGCAAGATCAATGGCATCAAACCATTTGTATTTTAAAAGAGCTTAACCAGCTCCTGAACAATACATTTTTGAATAAGATTGATTGATTGATTGAAACCATGCCATACTAGACACACACATATTACAGTTATAGTCTTACCTTCTGCTTGGCAGCATGTTCAGCAACCATGTCACTCAAATCTTCCTTGCGAATTTGACTTTCTCTTTCTTTAATTTGTTCATCATATCTGGATAAAATGATCATTAATAATAATCATTAAATTATAAAAGACAGAAAAGGCTATAGTCTAGTCATTATCAATGTGCAGAGCCACTTACCTTGCCTGCATGGCTGCAGGATCAAGCTCCAACTCACTAGGATCGAGTGCAACTTCAACTCCATCAGCCGCAGCACCTCCAGCCTGAAGAAATGACAAAAATCTAGTGTTTAAAAGCAATAACAACTCCAGACCCCTTTGAAAACATCATCAATTTTACTCGATAACTAATTTCTACAGGACATTTGCATTATGGCATCATGAGGTATAATTACTGATCTTATCAAAATCCATTGTTTTCAGTCTGCATTATCCCAACGAATGCATAGAGGAAAATCAGACATATTTACTTCATTCATTATTGGCTTTGTTTCTATGATAAACAAGCTAGAAAGAAAACAATTAGATTTTGATAAGAACAATAATTATACTAGATAATTACTTCGGCACACAGCATTCGTAGGTATAATGCATTATACCTACGAATGCTGCGTGCCTCAGTAATTATCCATTAAATAACTATCGCCGATAATCCCATGCACACTTTCTTTTGTTCAAATAATTTAGCACCAATATTTTTTTTTTATTCTCATGAGGAAATACATTAATTTGAATAAGAGAGAAAATTTTTGAAGCATTTTGGTAGTGGTAGTTGAATGACACCATCATGCAAATTGCCTAATAGATTGCAAATGGGCTAGTGTACATAATGGGTGTATAAAATAATACTGTATATTGATCACACTATACCTTTCTGGAGACCATTGGAGCTGCCTACAAACACGAAAAGAAAACAGGTCAGATTAAAATGATATCATTCCCATGATGACCAAATTTAGAACCTGTTTTGATTACTTCATGTTCTAGAATTTGATTTCATTTTTCACCATTAGTATACATCCTAAACCTGAAAACTGTCATTCTCAGATGGTGAGGTTGTAAAGAAGAAGGGACTTASAGATATTTTTCTACAAGCTATAATAATTAACTTTTGATTGAACTCATGGTTTGTCTAGTGGATTGGAAATGTTTCCCCTAGCTTGTAAAGTTTCTATAAGGAATATGGATTGATATGATATTTCTATAAGGTGTTTTGTTGTGATTGTTTTAATGCTTGAGTGGTTTTACAATCAAACCAGCTCATGCATTCCTATCARGGTTCAAAGATTCATTTCATTTTTCGAAGTATGATTTCGATCCTGCTTTAAAGCTTGCATTAAAGAAACGAATGTTGTGAATTAGAATTCAGGGCACAGATTAAAAGTTAATTTAGTTCTTCACAGATTTGTGCAAAGCTAAAATATTATTTCAACATTTGTAGCTACCATTTTAAAGTTATTTGTTTGGTGTGCAGTTTTGTTCAAAAAATCATTTCTGGGATTGAATTTTACAATGTTCGTTTCATTATGCAAGCTTCAAAGCAAGATGGAAATCAAACGTCCAATAATGAAATGAATCTTTGGACCTTGATAGGAAAACATTGAGTCATTCAGCACCTTCCTGTCTTAATATCAAATGCCTCCCYTCCCCTCCCCCCCAAAAAAGTCCAAATTTAATAATTTCTTCTTTCCAGTATCCCATTAACTACGTCCTCAATTCTTGTTGACATTTTTTAATGTTTACACACATAATTTATGCATCGAAGAATGGCAAACTAGTTGGCCTCAAAGACAAGAAAAGTATCCCATTTAACTATGTTCTCAATCCTTGTTGACATTTTTAAYGTTTACATGTATAATTTACACAGAGAAGAATGGCAAATGCGTTTGCCTCAAAGACAATTAAAGTAACCTGTGCATACCCTTTCAAAATGAACGCTCAATGTACTTACTCCTGGAATGTCATAGACATGGGCTGATCCCATCATAGCAGCACCAACACTGATCTTCTTCTCTGGTATCATGGTGTAGAGTGATGGCTGCTCRGCTCCTGCTTCCATTGCTTCTTCAATAGATTTCTTCTTCCTGAGCTCTATCATGTCAGGGGTTTCCATACCAGCAGGAATAGATGTCAATCCACTGGGTGTCACTAAGCCACTGATTATCAGAACACAGGATGAACATGTTTTATTTATTTATCTTTTTTAAAATCTTTCTCCATTTTTTACTTTTTATTTTTCCCTCTCTATTTTTATGTAGAAATATGTAGTTTTCAATAAGAAAAACACAATTTGTAAATTATTGTTGTATTTTTGTAAATAAATAAATAAATAAATAATAATTCATTAAAAAAGGAAAAAAGAAAAAGGATGACATCAGAATGCAGCATTGATGGTAGACCACTAGTTGTTGTTGTTGTTGGTTATGCTGTCGTTATAGCTGTTTGCATGGTTGTGTTAGCTGTTGTTTTTGTTGATGGTGGTGATTGTGGAATTGACTGTTATTGTTGTTGCCGTTGTGCACCTGCCTATCTTTAGGTTCCCGCAAGCTATTTCAAATTGGGCTTTTGCTTCTGTTTTTGAGATGAAAAAGCAGATATAGTACCTGGTCTTCTAGGTTTGGGTTCGTCACGAGGACATTGATCTCTCCTGGTAACAATATTAAAGTCTATTGTTTGGGAACTGTTCCACTAAGGAGGAAGAGGATGTTTAATGGATGTACACTGTACTTACGTAGCGGCTGGTGTTATTAATCCTGTGGTGTCTTCTTCTTCTGATTCTGACTCCTATCATAATGACAAGCAAAACATTTATGTAAAGTTACTTAATAGGGTCATATCTATGTAAATGTACTGGTATGTACCCATTTCTTCAATCAGCAAATAAAAAAATGAGACCCCTTTTAATGTCCAATTTCATGGAAATGYTTGTAAGCTTTTGCTCTAAAATTATTACCAGAAACTATAAACCCCCCTCCCTGTTATCAATGTTGTTTCAGCTAACGATTGGTGGCACATGAGCATTTATCCATTCAACATCGCTACTGTAGGGGGAGGGGGTTTGAAGAGAAAAGCTTCTTCCTATTGGAATTGGGCTTCCWGGATCTCAAGGTATTTGTTCATTGATTGTTAACCCCTCCCTCCCTTCCACCAAGGTTAATTCATGATCACTGCTAAATCAAGAATCAATAAAACCTGCTATAAATAAATGGTACCAACCTCTGATTCTTCTTCTGATTCTTCCTCTGATTCCACTTCACCCCAGTGCCTTCGTAATAGACCATCTTCTTCCTCTTCTACAGGTTGGTCTAGTGATTGWACACCAAACACATCTCCATACAGGGGTCTGCCAGTCTCGTCAACCGGGGGTTTTCCCCATCCTCCTGCATGATATCCAAATGATGCTCCTTCCGGGATGGGTGCATTCAGTCCAGGTATTTTTAGATTAGGGTAGSATGGTGGAGGACCATATCTTTGCATGGCAATCAGCCAAGGGGGAGGTACAGTATGGCTTCCCTGGAATTAACAAGAAGATAATAGTTATATACTTTAATTCACACTCTAATTTCATGTTTTGATAAATACCACCACCACCATCATCATTGTCATTATCATATACAGCYATTTCAAAAAACATTGACGGGGCAAACACCAAATTGGTTATTGGCGATCGTACAACCAAAATGCACAGATAGAATGCATTTAAACATGGATAATTGAGGCATTTTAAATCGTTTCTCAAAAGACAAAATTTGATAATTTGATAATCAGTTGTACCAGATACAGGAAATAGGTCCAACTRGCAATACCCTACCTTTATGGCCAATACTCCATTTAATATTCTGATCCATATTGTTGTTAGTACTATTTAATACTTTATATAGTACTTAMTTATGCAGCTATTTCAAAAAAGGTTGAAGGGGCAAGCTAACAGCGATAGATAATAAGCATTAGGCGGTAAGTTAATATAAGAGATAGGTCATTCCAAAATAAAAGAATAGCTAGAATGACTTGTATTTCTGATCATTATTCTTGTCAATAACATCGTTTGAGAAACCATTTACATTTAAAATGCCTCGAKTATCCGTGTTTAATGCATTCTCACTGTGCATTTTGGTTGTGGTGTTTGCCCCTTCAATGTTTTTTGAAATAGCTGTATAATTATGATGATGATGCAATGATGATGATGCTGGTGGTACCAACAAGGACGACAATGTTCAAAAAGATGATGATGACAAGGACAATTATTTATCAAAACATTAAAAAACATACTGGTCCTGTTGGCATTCCTAGAGCTGCCTTGAGATCATCAGACAAGTCACCYGGCTTCTTTTCTTTCAGTTTTGTTTCAAACTCTTTCCCCTTTAATGAAAAAAATAAAATAAATGTTACAAATCAAATGTTTAGGGATTATTGGTTGTTTCACTAGCAACTCGTTTACCCACAAGTCAAGTCATTTCATCTGAGGCTCRTAATTTACCTAGTCCCACASGGCTTACTGCCTCATCTATCATTTCATCTGATGTTATTGATGAGTGTAACAATAACAGTTTCTTGGAAGTAAGTCRTGATAGTCACCCAAAGTATCCTAGTATAATTATTTTTAGACTTGAACATAGAGTTTCATGCCCTGTGATTGATCAAGCGACCAGTGATTCTGAGAGGATAGTCACTGCTTGAGCAGTGATTATGAGGTTTTTCCAATGTTTATACCAAAGTGGAAGTAATACTAAAACATTTTTTTTCATTCTGAATTTCATCTTTTTTCTGTTATTCAAATCTATTATATTAAAACAATTATATTAAAACAATTATTCACCTCAGGCTCAGTGAATATTTACCTCACTGCTAGAAGACCCACGGTGAGGTAAATATTTCCTGATATTCATTTTGCCTGAGGTGAATAATAATTGTCAAATTACATGGTTTTATTCACACACGTTTTCTCAAATAAATATTCTTTCAATACCTTTGTCTACAAATAATTTTTTGATGTTATGAACAACAGGTTTTGAAATGTGCACATGAATTGAATAGAAATTCTGGTTTGTCCAAAAAACATTTCCTATTTTTACCTCATAATATAAGTCTCCATGAATGGTTAACTTGGGTTTAGTTTGCCACCTGAAAACAACAAACAAACAAGCTTAGATTTCCTGGCTTGGAAAAATAGCAGTTAAATGTTCAGCTGAATCATTATGCAAATCAATATTTGTAGCGAATTTAGAAAATGGGTGAGTCCTAATTTTCACTARCCTGGAGTAAAGATAGTTCTGTACAKACTAGTGGACTAGTGTTAGTGAAAGCACTTTATAAAAGAATTGGGATACTTCGCGCGCTATGATTGGTCGAAAACCATGTTTGATGAGAGTATCAAAACACACTATCATCATTTTAGCAGGCGCAAGTATTGCAACTGTCAGATTTTAATCTATTGCGCRCGCTCACTGGTCAGTTTGAATAAGACRCACATWGGGAGAATTTACTTATACTTTGCTTTTTTTCTTTCTTTTCRGTTTTGTGGTTTCCTATGCTCCTCTAGTGTTCTCTCAACATCCCACGTGTTTTGATCAGAGTATCAAACATGGAAAACTGTTTTTGATCTGTTAAGTATTGTGTCTTAAAAACCACTTGTCTGTAGTAATATTTATCTAAGAAGATCACATGATTTCGTACGTCTATTTCAAATCCTTTATTTCCAACAACAAGGCGCCCAATGTTTTATATGCACAAACTGATGTGGCTGCTGACCGGCGCACGACACTACATCATTGATSAAATTAATTTTTTGATACAGTAGATTTTGAAAGAAAACTGACAGTCACTCACTTGAAAAATGCATCATGCATCTTCTTGTAGTCTATGTTAATCTTTCCCATCTTTGGTCGAATCTATAAATGTCATAATTCATCAAAACATGAGTACCAAATTTTAACTCCCGTGTACTTTTATCAGAAAATCAATTCCAATCAAGATAGTTCATTGTTACATGTACTTTGATGTACCTTTTCTCTCATTTTAGCCTTCAGTCCCTTCTGGTCTTCCTAAAAAAATAATTTAAAAAATAATTAAAATTTTAAGAGTAATTACTAGTTAGGCTTAAGAATTGCTTTCTGGTCCTATGATGCCCAAAACTTCCTGCAAAAAGCACCTTATTTGAAAAATTCCTGAATAYCAGTTCAAATTATTCACTAGGAAACAGAAAAACTTCTTAAATAAAAAAAACCTGGAAAAAGGCCCAAAATTTTAATAAAAATCTGCTTAACGTATTCCYATTTTTGAAGTCATTTTCAAAAACMAAAAACAAAAAAAACATTCTTATAGTCAATTTATGATATGTGCTTTTTTTTTGTCACTTGGTAAAGATCCTTCTCCCGTAAAGCCTCAGTGGCCGAGCAGTTGAGATCTCCTCTAGCAAACGAGAGGTCAGTGGTTTGAGTCCCACAAGAACCCAACTGAGGCAGATTTTTTAATCTGCTTATTACACTCGATGTAGCATACACTTAACATATATTCTTATAGTCATTATTTTTCTGACATCGAATAAGGATAAATACTTTGGCGTGTCACATATTGTGTCACATAGTTCTGGTGGGTTTCATCTAGTCACTGGCTATCTTAGAAATCTTTGGTTTTCGACCACAGGTATTTTTGATAAAAACCACACTAACTAAAAAARCAACAATCTGGTGAATTAACACCTCACCATGACCGATTCACCAGATAGAACCTTAACTATAACTTCAAACCCTATATGTTCTGAGTAAGCTGAAACATAAAAAAGGGAGGTCAATGGACTTGACTACCCCTTCCCCCCTGCTGCCCTACAGTGCAAAACATATAGGATGTTGGAAGTACAATTTTAAAGAACATAGATTCATAGATTTATTGGGTAAAACCCGATGACAGTATGTTTGACACAGGCATTCGGACCCAAGCATGGGTGAAGGTGGTGGGGRGAACGTGTGTGAAAAATGATTAAAGAAAAATAATAAAAAAGGAAAGATATAGATAAATAAAATACAACAAATCAATATAGCAAGAATGTTATGAACCTTTTCTTGCATGGCCTCTCTCATTTCCATTATTCCTGTTTTCTATAAAGAAAAAAGTAAAATTGATATAATTATTGAAATGAAATGGAAACAAAAAAAAAAGACATGTTAGTTAGAAAAACCCTAAAACATGCTAATGCAAAAAAAGTTGACCCATAATTCCTTTAGAGGAACACAGTCAACTCAGCTGAATAGTAAGACAGTTTATTGGACTAACCTTAATAAACTCAGGTAGTTCATATGGAGGCTTCACAATACCACGTTTACCCTGGTTAAATATTATCATAACAGTTAATATGATGTCAAATTTTATGGGCCAACTCAAGCATTAAGAGCTCTGTGACMATATATGAGACTAAAATTGACAGAATTCAGACCAAAATATGCTGGCAATCCGTAATGTCATTTTTAAACTGTTGGTGAACATATTAAGTAGTCTTTCAGACCACCATTCATGGGCAGAGTAAAAAGAAAAAAAATTCAAGTAAACAGTATGAACTGAACAATTTATTTCTGTACCTCAAACAAATTGTTATTTCTGAAATGTTAGAATAATTGTGAATAAAACCATAGAGTGCATAACATTTGTCCGTGAAAATGTTATATTATAAGAAAACTGTACAAATTAGTGCAAAGTTTTGTAGGTATACAGTCTACTGAACTTACTAATTTGTTCATTTTCTTACAAAGTTTTAAGCAGATGTAATGGTATGAACTCTAATACAATTTAAAAGCCTTAGTATCTTAGATTCTTAATCACTAAGTATTATCTGAAGCTGCAGCTCTGCTGACTGGGCAAAAAGTTAGTTTAAATTTAAATTGGAAACTGTTCAGACATTGTAAGCTACAAGGATCAGTTGAAATCTCCCTGTAGGTAGAAATGTCCTTTCTTAATATCCCACTTGTATTATTAACCACACTACTTGGATGGAAACCAAATAGAATGGGACTTAAAAGTGGATGAACGAGAATTGTGACATAGTTCTGCAGTTATGTTTAGTGGCATAGGCAATTGAATGGGAGAGGTCCTTCTTGAGTAAATTTGTTTCGTTTTTACTATTTTTAGGTTATGAATAGTCAATTTACTTAATTGGTAATTACTGCTATTGCTAAAGATTCATCTGCACAGGCTAAGCCTTGCATAAAATAATTCACAAAAGTTGGTTTTAATGTAAAGAATGTGCAAGTTGAACAATGTTTTAAATTCACACAGACTTGGTATCTGTGATAGCTTAAGTATGAATGAGGTCAAGCCTGYTGCAAATGAGTCTGTGGTCTTCAAAAACAGCAAAAACGGTATTTTTAAAAAAGCAATTAGAAAAGGGTGCAAGGTAGTTGAGTTTTATCTTTTCTTTGCTTGTGGTCGTACATGCTAGGTTACTTACCTGTAAGTACTTTCTCTTAAAGCACCAATGTCGAGGAACGGGAACAGTATTTCTACATGACTGTGTAGAGGAGAAATAAAAATAGCAATATTAATCAATTAATGAATCTATATATGATTGACTTGTTCGTAACAATAGAAATGCATGGTAATCAAATGAACATTTGTATCTTGCTTTATATATCTCTATTTATTAAGTTATTGAATTAACAAACAAACAAAGTATGTGGACTAACTAGAGATGACCTAATATTAGCATTCAATAATGTGCGGACATTGTAATCTACAAAGCTAAAAGAGATATAGCAATGTAGGAATGAGTGTGTCAACTTCTTCTGATCTGCTCTCTCTTGGTGTTCAATGTGCAATGTTTATCAGTTGTACATTGATATCAATAAGAGAGAGGGTCTACTACTGCTATAATAACAAAATAAATGTACACTGAAAATTACAACTACATAGACATCAAAATATTAATAATAAACTATACTGTTTCAATCCTGCATTCTGATTGGTCGTCCTCCATCAATCATAAAGGCTCAATATTTTAGTGACATGGATAAAAAACACGAGTAGTTATGTCGTGACATAAGATGGTGTTCATTTCAATGCAAGTGACGGAATTAAATTTCATGGATTTCAGTCAACCACAAAGGCAATTAGATTCTTTGCGGCAAAAGTATGACCTCTGAACTGAACCTGATCTTTAGACCAATCAGAAATAAGTAACTTTCTGGCTGAACAAYGTGTAGCTTTTTCAAGGTTGACTCACCTTCAAAAAGATCAAAAACTTTGGATCAGGAGCATTGACATCATGCATCTCCACCAGATCTGGTCTGTCTACCAACTGGATGAGCAAAAAATAGATTTAATATACAAGACACATCATACCAGGTTAAATAATATTATTAAACAGGTTTGATTCCCAGACCCAGTGTCGTATGTGAGTTGAGTTGTTTGTTGGTTTTTTCCTGTGCTTCAAGGGTTTTTTCTGGCTCTTTCTCCCTCCACATCGACTTCTAATTCATACCCCTCCCCCCTGAGGAATTTGGAATTTCCGAGGGGTGAGGGATCAGAAAAAGAACAAAATTACAGAGTTTGTATGGAAGAAAATTGGAATTTCCGTGGGTAGGGGATGGACAGGGGGGCAGGGTAGTGGATAATTTCTGGAACTAAACAAACAATTTGAACTATTGGTAGCCTTATCAAGTGGGTTGCAAAAACTGTTAGGCTTTCTGTCCACAATGGAGTGGTAAATAAATCCTCTAGAAATAAACTCGGATTTCATAATCATAAGAAATATCAACCTAAATCATTTGCATGGCATATGGCACACATAAAAGCACAGGTTTATTGCCCTAATATGTGTACTTCAATACTTTGAACTTATTAGTTATAGTTTTTTGATATGAGAATATATAGTCTATATACATTCTTATATACTTACTAGTTTAAGCTGTGCAACTGAAAGTCTTTTCATTTTCTTGAGTTTTTTCTTTGACAGTTTTGGCTCATCAGAATCTGCAGGTTTCTAGACAGAATAGAAGGGGACACATGACTGTGAGAAAGTAAAATTATTGAAACAAATCTATGCATTYATAACCATTAGGAGTTATCGTAGAATGATAAGTTATACACCGTAGTGAAAATAGTAACTGACGTTTCGGACGTTAGTCCTTCGTCGGAGTCAGTTACTATTTTCACTACGGTGTATAACTTATCATTCTACGATAACTGTTTTATTAGAAACACTGACGCAGTCCACGCTAGTGTTTACTAGCCATCATCTATAACCATTAGGATTTGAGGGAGGAGGCTTTTGTTAGGAAGAAACTAATCAAGTAGTAAATGACTTAGACTTCCTAAATACAGATTGATTTCAAGAAAAAACATGTGAAAAGATTTTTTCTTTGTTTTTTTGAGTACTAGACAGCTCCCAGACTGTCTGTATTACAATGGAGACAAAACCAGCTGTCTTATATCRCTTTTAAAACATTTTTGAACGATTTTGAGCGAGCATGTCTCTATCTTCTACCAACATAAACRCAGTAGCCAGCGGATCAGCTCACAAATTATATCTCAAATGTATATTAAACATACAGTATATATTATAATATAAAATCATAATTCATTATTACAATTTATAATTATTACTATTTAAGAAAAACTAAAGTCAATATATCATGTTTACCTCTGTTTCATCATCATCGTCATCATCATCATCGTCGTCTCCTCGTAAGGGATCTCTAACATCTTGCTTCTTTGCTTCAGCCTAATTAACAAAATAAATAATCTGTTGAAATTCATTGGATATATAACCAACACTCTGTGTGATGTCCTTGCTAAATTCCCTTCCAATAATCATTACTTGTCAGCACAATATCTACCTTTAATTCCACATCTACATAAAATACATTAATTGCGCACATCWGAGAACTTTTTACATACTCATGGTATTAAGCCACTTTCATCGAATGCACATGGTGTTWTAGTGTTTTTCATCAATTCTTCTTGAATGATGGTATTTCCTATACTAATATTGTTTAAATGCTTGCTTACTGTCTCTTCTTTTTTGCCTTCACCCTTTTTCTTGTCTGCAGATTCCTCTGGTACTGATATCTAAAATAATACAAAAAATAGCTCTAAATTAAATCTACAAACATGAAATAGCAGTATCAAAGATTTGATTTAACAATTTAGACTTAAACATACATATTGGGAAAAAGCTGTAGAGCGGAAAGTTCACACTGGTTATCAAACTCAATATTATAATTTTCTAATTGTTTGGGTTGATACTCAAGAAAATTCAGGATCAGCTATTATTCAATATGAAACAAGTTTTAAGATCCTTCATGTTTTCTGTCAACGCAACAATAATATTTTATGAACATTCCACTATATACATCTAACTTATATACTTCCCATATACCATATCAGACTCAGCTCATCAGTATACTCTATGTTTTGGACCCAAATAATGATTTTGCGATTGAGTGTGTGATTTTAACGAGAAGCTAAGAATACCTTGAACTTTTCAAATATTTCAGAAAAAGATCTGAAAAAAGGGTTAGTGAATTCCATTTTTTCTGAGATATATTCGACTTCTACTTTATCTTCTTCCTCTTCAATAGCATATTCTTTTTCCTGAAAAAAACAGAGAGAATTTTCTAAATAAAGTTCTTCAATGAAGTAGTGGGATCTCAAATATGTCTCACCGTATGGAGTAAGATTCTTTGCATCTTTACAAAACCCGACAGATTAAACTTTCTATCTGTGATCTGTGAGTTAGTAAACCATCAAATGCTTAAACGATGTGCAATTGTGTGAATATAATACATCAATAGTATTTGTATTGAGTCTGTTTTTTTGTTTTATCAAGGGTAATGTAGCAGTAGTGCAGGCGACAGAGGARCAAGAATAGAGGGCTGGATGTGTTTTGAGTTTGGATTTCAAGTCACAGATARTGACTTTTTTCCCTTCACGGTGGCCTAAAACCTCAGACTTCTGGAAATGTGTTGGATTTGATTTTAAACAATGAAAAGATTCAATAAAAATGGATGCAAAAAAACCCTACCACACAGTAGATTAAATCATACCTCTCTTGGTTGTTTTCTTCGTTTCTTCTTCTTTTTTTTCTTCTTGCTTTTTTGTTGGGGCTGATAAATTAGTGCAAATAAAATAATTAATGAAGACTCAAGCCTATTGACAATTACATAATTGATAAGGTCTACCATGCTATTGACAGAGGACTTTTTATTGGGGAGGTTGGTCAAATTAGGTTTTTTATTATATATATTTTTCATCATATATATTATAGATTATTACTCTTAAATGTTATTTTATTTATTTTATTTTATCAACTTTGCCAGAACTAAAATTTAACATAAGAAAAAAAAGAAATGAGATGCAGRTATAGCCAATTACTGCTGGTCCATGAATACAAAAAAAGTAAAATATAACCAAGATAAAGACTTTTAAACTAGAAACAACACGTAATTGAGCACATCATTACATGTGCAACAGATAGTCTTGAATGTCCTTGGATTGACTGGGTCATTAGCCAAGGTCAGTTCATTTTAAAAGCTTTCATCAAAGCTATTGCCAGTTTTCACATAAAAGATGAGGCATCATCAAAAAATCAAAATCTAAACTATACATCGTATAAACACATTTTTATGAAATGTTTTAGAAGTCAGTGTTATAAGTCACAAGAAAAWWTTTTGAATGATTTCGATGTTTGGTTCCTGAGTTATGAAGGTTGAGTTTGTGTCATGYAATACAATCACCTCTATCTTAATAGCGATGAATATATTAAAATAATTTAGTTTAGTTGAAAGATCTTCCCTTAGACAAGTTTAAAATATCTATTTAAAGTATATTTAAGTGAAATATAGTCAAACATTAAGCCTTTGGAGTTTCGTCCGCYATGATGGTGTACCAACTTGRAACTCCAAGATGGCCACCCCATACATTTTAACCAARAAYTGCATCATGTTTACTCTCCTATAGTTTCGCAACGAAATGCTCTACAGCCTTCAAATTTGGCCAGTATGTGTAGTTTTGACCCCCTTACAAGTTTTTGAAACTTTTACTTCGTTATAATGCRAATTTAMGCTATYGAAATTCATGATGACATAGGCGAAAACCAAGAATAGTACACCTAATGTTACTTACGCTCTCCAAGGTCTAGACTGGGTAAGACTAAAGCAAATGAATTCAAAGCATGATGTAACATGGGATGATTCAYCACCAATTTGTATGTGCAATGAGTTGATGTCCTGTAGCATATCACATGTATTGATTTTTCGGTTCAGCAACACATTGGGAGTTTTGATTCRGCTTCAAAAACTTGMAACGTGCATCACCTATTGTGGAAAATCATTGTTGTGYATTGTCCCATGTAACATCACCTTATGAAACCATGAAAATGGCTGAGAGCTTGACATGTTAGGACTGCTTTTACAATTAAGGAAAGAAGGATGTGAGGATACAAGCAAGTGCAGATAATAATGCCACAAATTTTTTTCCCTTTGCAATTATAAATAACTTATAAAAAGGATTGCAATTTGTAAAMGATTATCTGTGCTTGCAATAAACTTAAAACTTACCTCAACAGATTTCTGTGCTGGTTCTTTATCTTCTTCTTCAACAACTGAAAGTTCTTGCTCTCTTCTTTCAGATATATCACTACTTATTCTTTCATTAGACAGAGACGTTTCTTCATCTTGTGACCCTTCTTCAGCTTTTTCTTCTGACGGTGATGGCTGTGCTTCTTCCATTGCCTCAGGCTCAATTTCTATTTGCCTTGACACTAATTCTTCAGCTTCATTTTGCTGTTCAGCTTCTTTGGGTGGAYGAGGTTCAGTGTCATCGTGATCCAGGGAAGATGGAATATCATCTGTGCTGCCAGATAACGCTTCTGGTTGTTCTTCTATTCTCCCAGAGCTGCTAGTTTCTAATTCTTTAGAACTCTTTTGGTGCTCTTGGTTTTCAGTACTGGATTCCTCAAGGTTTTGTTGCATCTGTTTCTGCTGTTGTATTTGTTGATGTAACTGCTCCTGCATTAGTTGTTGCTGTAGTATTTCCTGTTCTAGTTGTCGTTTATTTATTTGTTGCTGCAGTTGTTGTTGTTGCTGTAGCTTAATTTGTTCCTCYATTAATTGTTGCTGCTGTAGCTGCAATTGTTTTTGCTGCTGCATTTGTTGCTGTAGAARTAGTTTTTGTCGTTCTTCTTCTTCAGCAGCAGCAGCGGCATCAACAGCAGCAGTATCATCAGTATCACATGTTTCTTGCTCCTTTGCTGTAACATCTGGCTCAGGTTCTTTTAATGAAGTATCATCAGGTTTTTGTATATCTTGTTGTGTTGCTGGTTCAGTGTGCTCAGCTGGTTGTTCTCTTTCTATGTTTTCTTCTCTCTCTTGTTGTAGCTCTTCTGCTTTAAAATAAAAATTTGCTTAAAATGTGAGCAAAGGAATTTAAAGCACAGACTACAACAATTGAAGAAACCTTAACACAAATGAGTGAAATCACAGAGTTCCAATTTGGCTTGCTTGTAGTCTAACTAGTTACTTAACTAATTTATTTTCTTGTTACATGTAGTCCTTTTCTTCGCTTTAATGGTATTTTACATAATTGATAATTATACATTAGATAAAATAAGTGGATAACAAGCTTGCCACTGTGGAACCGCTGTTCTGTGATTTACTAGACAAATTTGATTTTTTTAAATAGTTTTCTATTAACAAATGGAATACAAGTCATTCAATCATAGTTTRAATATGAAATAAATAACATTCTTTATGCTAAATTCATACCTTCTGTATCACCTCTTTGCTCTTCTAGTGACTGTAACTCTGCTTCCTAGAGGGTCAACAAAATTACAATTAGATAGATAGATGCTTTATTTAGACACRGTAGACTCTTCAGGATTTACAATTAGTATAATACTAAAATTACTTAATTCTAGTTACTACGTATACTAAGCTAACTACAAGTTAATTAACTAAAGACTAATAATAATACAATATAATTACATAATAAAAAGAGTACCTGTTTTCCAAGAGTGCCGTGTATAAAAAAACATAATTATTATTATCATACATTTTACTATCTGCTTCAGATTGGYTGACAACCCTCCGACAACCCCGGCGTGATAAATGCATTACCTGTAGGTTTTTCTGCAGATAACACAGTGGTAATCATGTCAAGTTCGCTCAAGGTCACAATGGAGATTGAAAAATGTTTGCTATTTTTTTCAAAAGCACAATTAAATCTTCATTCTATAATAAAACAATTATTGAATTCAGTTTCTGCATGATATCTTAAATTAACAAGACCTCTGCCATTTTATCTGCCCCAGCCTAGTGCTTCTGCAGATAACACTGTCTTGGTCTTGATAATCTACAATAACATGATCAACCTCATCCAACAATTCTTTATAGCATGTTCTACTTAAATTCTGAATTTTAAAGTAAGTTTGACTAAAGACTTTGCTTCCAATTTTACTTTTAAATTAAATTTGAATAAGCGACACAATGATGTGGAGACATACCTTGACATAGTAATTATGAAGTCTTTCCACTAGATCGACTTTAAGCCCTATAAAAGACAGAACATCAAAGTTAAAGTATARTATTCAATACTTTATCCTTTCATAACCTAACATTAAAGTTTGGTTAAATATTTGTTGAGAACACTCTAAATGTTCTCAAACGAGATCCCAGCATCGAGGACTGAGTGTTTGACAGTGCTAAATGACTGAAAACGAATAGTTGAAGCAAACACACGCAATCAACTATATGTTTAAATACTTTAATGAAAGAGATATGGTATAATTCTTAAAAGTTACATCTATTTTTTTGTGTGTCATGAAGTTAAAATGTGAAAATTACGATGCAACACATGGCAAACTGTGCACCACATGGACAACTACACCATGGACAAGAAGAGCTTTGATTTGATCTTTAAAGAATAGTAAATCTTATATCTTTGAGATTTATAAATTGAAAGATGTAAAAGTACCTGATAGTGGTAATYCAAGCTCTTGTAACTTTGCCTTTAGCTCTACAACTTTGAATTTCTTTAGAACATCTACGGAGTATAAACTATCCGCCATCTTGGATACCGGGCAGCGCGTTCGTCTGACGTACTAGATCCAGTCTTTCTCTTTTTCATTGAGATCGAGGTTCGAATGGTCGCTCGCCTTGACTGTAAGTTCAATCTATTGCGGGACCTTTAACTTTCTTTTGTTGTCGTTTTTAAAACCTTTTTTGTTTTGTCCGTATTTGCTTCAGATATCTATTATCTATCATTTGGCATGYACTATAAAGGTTCACTGTTTTCTTTGAAGGTTTCTTTCTTGAGAGTGGTTTCCAGTTGCTGTCGTGACCAGAACACTCCAATCTCCTCCTTACTCAGAGCTCCCTAAGATCGATACATGAGAATCATTTTATAGTTTTAGGGACCCTGCATGCAGAGGTTTCCTTTTCCTCATTCTCTTTTTAATGGATGCTTTCAGTTTAGACCACTACCTTTTTTTAATATATCTATTTTATTCAACTTCACATAGCAAAGCATATCAAACATAAAATATGCATTTGCATTCTAAACTTAAGAAGGTATCATACAATTCTAGAGTTTAATGCCAAGTTTCAAAATTGCATATGTCAAGTCTGATATACATGATGTCGTCATAATAATTACATAGGAATTTTTTCATCATTCTATTTGTCCTGCCCCTCCTCCTCATCTGTTCCTAGTTTTTCTTTTTCATCTTCTTCCTCTTCTTCTGAGCTGGAGTCAGAGTCAGAGTCAGAGTGCTGTAATGCAGGTGGTCGATTGGTGTTCACAAACAAGTCATCGTCATCGTCACTGTCAGTCCCACGTGATAAACCACTATTATCTTTATTTGTTTTCCTGAAATAAGAATAGTTTTGTTAGTCTTATTATCCAAATTCTAAGATATCATAATTATAAAAGAAATACATGACTCCACTTATGCACAGCCATCTGCACTTTGGTTTTCCTGCTTGRGGGGAGATTAAATGGAAACTCTGCCAACAGGGTATTCACCAGGATGCCCCAATAATTAAACTAAATACTATATAGTTATGTATGATATATACTACCAATGCCACCAAACTGAGTTTACACTCAAGAAACACATGTCATGGTCACTCCTCCAAACATGTACAAATTCACCCACACATCAAACTTTTAGCCTGCATTTACRGACCTTTACATCAGTATCCTTTTGATAATTTTCTTCCCCAATTCTCAAAAGGATGCTCACACATAGAGAAAGGAATGCAGACTAAAATATGAAGTTTTTAGGCAGAGTCGTAGAYGTTTTGAGACATTTTGTAGTAACTTACTCGTTTTCTTTGGTTTGTGCATTTTCTTTTTCTTCTAGGATTTTCTTCTCTTCTTCACCMATAAAAGCTTCTGGCCTGATAAAACAATTTTTACTTGTAAGCATAACTAAGTTAATATTTGTTTGTATGACATAGAGTTGATTGTTGTCATGGTTGTTGTTTTTGTTGTTTGTTAATACTTATCACACCAAGTCATCACAAACCATGTATCTACTCACCAAAGCTTTTCTTCTTTTAGGTATTTGATTTGTTTGGAGTATAAAATATAAATTATTTCTGCACAGACTTTATTTCCTTCTTCTATTGGCTCAACAATAACAAAATCTCCTGAAAATATCAATGTTGTAATGATTTTAGTTTTTTTTTCACAAAACATGTTGTAAAATGATAAAGAAAAAATGAAGAGAGGACACGATTACCTCTCTTAATCCAGACATTCTTTCTAAATTTTGATGGCATGCTCACAAGAAACTTCTTCCCTTCAGCATCTTCTACTTCATGAAGGTTATTACCACGGCCTCCCAGAACCTATTAAAAGGATGATACAAAAATATCATTACACATGAAATATTTGTATTCTTCCAGTAAGTATACACTCTAATTGGGCTCCATCTAATTGCCCACCAAAGGCTTAAAGTAACAGCCAGTCATCATACAATATCTGTGAAGTAGTCTGTTCAAATCTTTGTCTTGCTGTTAATTTTGGCTGGTAACGTTGAGCCAGAAACCAGGAATGACTGAGCAAAAACTTATTTGTCCTCTGAACATGGCTGCAGACTGACCAACCTTTATTTTAAGCTCTGTTCCCACTTCCCATAAAAAATGTAGTTAAATCTTATAAGGCCTAAGTAGTCTTTGTAGCCCCTCACTCCTCCCTTTCTCTTTACTGTTACCCCCACCCCCCTTGTCCCCATTCCCCCAGAGCCTGGCTGTTTAAGCTTATAAGGCCCAAGGAAGAACTATACTTAGAAAACATAGTCTTATGACTAGTATTATTATCATCTTAATCATGATTTCATCATCACTATCATCGTTCATTATATATGGTCATGCTTGAAAACAACAAGCYGATGCTGAGCTGTATTTTGAATAATGTACATCAGTTCTGGCATGATATTTCGAAGAAAATTATGCATTAGCTTTCAACAGGAAGTGTACTTTGAATTTGAAAGTAGTAAAAAAAAAAGAATAGATGTACACAGCAGTGTCATTCTTTTTTAATATCTCTCATTGAATTTCGCCTCCTCGAGATACCTTAACTATCTCTTGATTATCATCTGGCTCCACATATTCATCCATAACCTCTTTTGTTACGTGTTTTCGTTTCGTAGCCTTCGACATGATGTCGTACGTTCTTCACTTGTTTTCTCTCCACTTCGAACGATGTTCCGGCTAATAAAAGCCGTTATACACCACACAGCAACACAGACAGGTACTTAACTAATATCCGTCCATGATTACTGTGCCATGATGAGCTCTTTCGATCAAGTTTCTGTTAATTTTCTTAAATAATCGACACAAGATTTCTGTACAAAGCGTGCACAATCAGTCGCCATGTTGTAATGAGGTTCAACCGCGAGGGACTTGCTACGAGTTCTGGGCTTCCTGTGTTCTAATTATCATAATTACAACCCTGACCAGAATGCATTGTAAGGCGGGAAATTGAAAAAAGCCGAGAAGAATAAAAACACGACAAGACGAAAAGAAAGAAAAWAATCTTGTCTGCAGGATGTCTTGGGATGCTGTGGAAGTTGGGCTTGCYGGAGGAGAAGAAACAGTAACATTTGGTCCTAGGAATGAGACTGGATCAGCTCTGTATCAAGTGGATACTCTAGCCAGTGTTTCACCGCGAGGAAAGGTTTGACATTTAGCTCGGATTTAAATTTTAATTCTGGAACGTCATTATTGACACTGTACTAATGAATTTTAAAACTCAAATACATGGGAAAATGTTTCTTTTTTCTCGACCCTATTTTTTTGAGTATATAAACTAGTATAAACTATCATTCCTTTGTGATTTTGACCAAAGGTAGAAGAGCTTCCCAAGATCTTCAGTACTAGCTCACAAGATGCATTTTGCGCGGTGATTTCCAAGCAAGTTTTGTTGTTCAATTCAAGTTGTACTGTACTACAAGCGACTCTCAATTTTGGTTAGTATTAAAATTATAGCTCCTTATAATGTTCCATATTTAAAATCCAATTAAGCTAACCATTCCCTTTGGTATTATTCCTTTACCTTGTTTCCCATACATGTCGGCAACACTTTGTTGCAGACACTGCAGATTGTCTGTCCACCTTTGTCACTGTTGAGTTGTGTTCAAGTCTTACGGCAAGTCAGAGGTGTCCCTGATTGTCCCCAGCTTGCCTGAGATCCAAATGGATATAGAAACATAATAGGTGGTCAACAGCTGTTATAATTATTGATGCAACAATATTGAAATTTTGCATGCTTCTCGCTGTGGTGGCATTGCACAATGCGGGTGCATCAGAGGGTGCTTGGGACATAACTGGGACAACCACTGGAGATGGTTTCGTAAGCATTGCAGGAGTGCTGCCCATATATGGGAACCAGGCTTAAAATGCTAAAGGAAAGAAAAAACACACAGAATAAATCAATGAAAAATGTTTAATGAATGCATTTTGATAAAATATTTTCTCTCATTTGTGATATATACTCATGTAGATGGTGATGTGAACAAAACAGCCTTAAATGAAGACTCCACTTTTATGGCAATCGGTGAAAGGTACATATACTTTATGGTTAATAATCTATATATATATATTCACCTTGCTATGTGCAATCTGATTGGTCAAGAACTGTGGTTCATAAGTTAACAGAGCATAGCTTAAATTATCAGTTCTTAACCAAATAACCACTAAGTTCTGCACTTTGTGCCATTGTTTACCCAGACTCTAATTCACAAACTACTTTTATTTAGTCTTAATATACGGTTATATATTTCTGAAAGTGATTCTAAACATGGGCGAGTTTGCATGGGCGAGTTGGCAAATGCATGATCGATGAAATTATACGTGGGCGAGTTGGTGTGGGTGAGTTGGTCCGTGGGCGAGTTGACTGGCTACCCTTCATTACATGCATTTGTCATGATTAAGTTTTTTCCTAACTTGAAATGTTTGCTTTTCTTCAGATCTGGAAAATTCCATTTCTTACATATTGCTTCTCAGCAGATTCTGTTCTCACAGGTACAGTAGTATGTAATGCTCACGAAGATCATGAAATGTGAAATGCTATTGTGAATGCAAGTGGTTGCCAGGTCTATTGTGTTTCAATAATTATTATATACATTTCTACTTTAATAGGATCTTGTATCAACCACTGAGGCAAACGGCAATGAGATGACATTCCTTGATATTTTTTTCACTCCTCCAAAATCTGATGGTATGAATATAGCTGTTAGTTAATATACCTTTATTTCTTTTCATCACTAATTCAATTTTCAATATCAATGTTTTCCAGGTCTGCAAGGCTTAGTAATCTTGACATCAATAGGTTTGCTGTTTGAGTTTTCCTGCTTGAGACTGCAAGAGCTTCATGAAGGTACATCTCAAAATCTCTTTCAAATATCCCAAAGTTTTATGAACATTTGTACACTGTATTAAAATTTATTTCATTGATATGATTTTACTAAATAAATAGATTAAAAGTTCATACTAACCTCCTTTATTTCTTTGAAATTGTAGCTATTAACAGTCAAGACCTCAGCCAAGTCAAGGACGTAAGTTTGTTACTATAATATTACAGTAAAATCAGTGTTAGATCCAAGGTCTTAAAAAGGGGGTTTCAAAATGGCTGCTGTGCAGAAAAACATGGCTCAATCCGATTTCCAAAGGGGCTTTCAGTTTCAATTTACTAAGCATAAAGAACAGTAGGTGAATTGATTTAACTTAATACACCATATGGTGTGATGTTCAGAAACTGACGTTTTGCTCCRACGAAGGACTAACGTCCGAAACGTCAGTTTCTAAACATCACAAACCATACGGTGTATTAAGTTAAATCAATTCTCCTACTGTTTGATTCCAAACACCAACACGGTTAACTAGTTTATGTAGTCTCTACCATAAGCATAAAGAACATGATTGATCAGTCACAAAGGGGGGTTCCATCAGGGCTTAAAACAGCTGGTCATCTGAAGGAATTGGAACAAGACAAATATTTTTGCTTGCCAGTCATTTTGACCAATAACACTTAGCCAGAAGTGAGGTATGACCGAGCTAAAACTAATTTGGCCTGTGATCACGACTAGCGACTTACCATCAGTGGTTATTTTAAGCCTGGTTCCATGGAACTTGTGGCCTGTGTAAAGCTGCCATGTTTGAACTGTATTGGCAGTGATGTGCATGATAAAATGAGTAGATTCATCTAAGAATTCTGTTATTCATATTGAATATGGTGCTCTGTTATCCTTTTAGTTAAAAGAATCTATTATCACCAAGTGTAGCGATGTAAGTGAAGCACATCAAGAGGTTCTTGYAGGTCTAACAACTGCATCCCACATGGGAACCCCAGCATTCATCACATATGTAAGTTGTCAAAGAATATTCACTGGTATAGTATTGAGCTCAATTTGTAGAAAAAAGTATGTATAAATGAAATTGAATGTAGCAGTCTTCAAAGTGGAAAAGCTCAATTGGAGAGGGATGGGTGGGGTAGAGGGAGAAGGGTTGAAGGAAGAACAGGGAAGGAGGGGGATTAAATAACAGATCATGGGTTTTTTGGAGGGGGGGGAGGGCATGGGAAAGGGGCAAATGCAGAACACAGATCCTTAAATCGTACCTGACATATGTGGAAACTTCATCATTTCAAAACAAAGACAAATGACCAAATAAGGAAACATATTTCTGCCTGATCAAATATACAGTACTAAGGGCAAGGCCTGGGAATGTTAATTCTGCCAGTCAAATGTTTCACCTTCTAATACTGTTTGTATTGGTATCATTTTTGACCCAATTCTTTCATAAAACAGGATTTGCCTATATCATTGTTAGTAGAGGGGAACTAAGCAGACCCCCTTTACAAACTATTCCTATATATAATGAATCAATTGAATGAAGTTGAATGCAAACAAAGAATTCAATGCATTTTTAACAGGGAAAAGATTCAAATATGGCAGTATGGGGAAAAGATCCAATAGAAAAAGTTGACAGCAAGACTGTTCTTCTTAACACAATTGAATCTTYTATATTAGGTAAGCTAGTGTGTCCAAAGATACATGATTACTTTTTCAATCTTAAGATCCCTGACCACAAGTTTTGTTTTGTCATAGCACAGATTTCTCAATTGAGATATGATAAATTATCTTGGACGTGAGGTTAACATGAAAATACGAAAGAAATTAGCAGATAGACTTTTTTCTCAATAGAATTTGTGTCATTTCTTACGTATTTCCATGTTGGCCTTATGTTCGTGGGGCTTGAAATAGTTTTTTTYYYCAGCCTGCCAAAGTAAAGAAGCATAGTAAAAGGAGGTCATTCCAGTAAATTTTGCATGTCATTTTATTATTCATTTGGCAGTGCATTGTTATTTTTGCTTGGCAAACCTGAAAGTTGGCCTGTCATTTGGCCATTGGTAGGCYGCTATTYCGAGCCCTGTATTTCGAGTACCATGGAATTTGGGAGGCCTAAATAGTCCTAAAAATATATCATTTGGAGATCCAACCCTTCAGTTTATYCCCTTTCTTTCCCTCCATTGTCCCTTAAGATTTAATAATGGTATACTTACAGGATCTGGTGTTCTCAAGGCATGTACCTCATGTGATGGCAGCTTTGTTGTTGTTCTTGATGAACAGGTTTGAACTTTTGAACTCTTAGTTTTTCTATAATATATTTATATCATGTTGGCAAATTCAGGGGGATTGGAAAATGTAAGAGACTTGGTAAAAGTGGAGGAGGCTGAGATCAGAAAATTTAGTGGATATTACCAAGAAGTGTTGGGACCATACCCACAGCCTCTTCTTCTCCATGGTCCCTGATGATGCTGAAGCCATTGTTGTTTCTGCTAATCATGTTGCTCATATTTAACCCACAGAATATGTTAAGTCTATGGGATGTTGAGTCACTTACAATGATCACATTCTGGCATCATCTGGCTGTAGAGGACTTCTTGCTYGTCAGTGCTAGTGGTGTGCAAACTAGCACTTCCAGGTAAATAGGTCATTGCCTCTATTTTTGGCCTCCTTTCTTGTCCCCCTACCTTGTCCCCCTGCCTTTTCCCCTTCCTTGTCCCCCTTCAATGTCCCCCTACCTTGTCCCCCTTCCTTTTCCCCTTCCTTGTCCCCCTTCCTTGTCCCCCTTCCTTGTCCCCTTTCCATGTCCCCCTTCCTTTTCCCCTTCCTTGTTCCCCTTCCATGTCCCCCTTCCTCGTCCCCCTTCCTTGTCCCCCTTCCTTGTCTCCCTTCCTTTTCCTCCTTCCTTGCCCCCCTTCCTTGTCCCCTTCTTTCCAAGTTGAGGAACCACATCTTTATCCCATTAAAAGATCTGTCRTCTAATAACGTGAGGCCCTGCTACCTGGAAAAAGTTAGACTACAAACAACAGTTTTTACTGTCCGCAATTTTTCAGGTTCTATTCCAAACTATTAATATGACAATTATTTGTGTAGCCTGGTGTTTTTTAATTTAATTAGGAAAAGTATCACCACCTATAATATTCAATCATAAGATGGATTTTTAATTTGTAGTTGTGAAGAGGAACTCAAGATTATCATACTGACAAAAACTACAGAWATCAAGGTATTACTCGTATTTAAGATGTTTTTGAGTTTTTTTTAAAGAATAATAAGTTCTTTCTGTCGTTGTAGTTGTCGTTGTCACAGCTAAGTGGCCCAAAAAATTCTGGAGTTTGGTGTGGTCTGTTAGATATTGGATTTAAATGCCTTGTCAGGTTTAGAGGCTTTTCTGCGATTTTCATAAACATGCAAACTCTGTTTCTGCAAGTTGCACGCTGAAATTTGGTTTTTCACTGCTGTCAATCAAACCTTATCAGTCAATACCTTTCATATTTTTGACTGGTGGCAGCAAAAAAAACAAATTTCAGCGTGCATCTTGGAGAAACATAGTTCGCATGTTTATGAAAATTGAAGTAATAATGTTGAATGGATGGATAAATAAATGGAATATGACAAGTGACTGTCTTCTGGCCAACCGCAACTGATCATGAGCTACTAATCAGGACACTCTTATTACTCTTACTCTTACTCTTTTAATTTACACTTTGCAGGAGAAACGTTTTCTTCAAGTTTACACTCTTCCATCAATGAAGCAAATTTACTCATTGCAAGTGTCAGATGCGTGTTATATTGCACATAGTCCAAGTAGTCAGGTGAGGAAGAAGATCAACAGAAACTTGCATAACTGAAAAATGTAACATTTGAAACAAGATGTTGTGTCATTCGATTTATTTTAACACAATTGACAATTATTTTCAGGAAACAATCTACTTTATTGAGGCAGTCACTGACAGGTAAGTCATAATTATGTTTCGAGGCAGTGTCCCTCTATTGCTTACTATACTAACCCAATATCCTGTATTTGCTCCTACTACATCCATTAACCTCTTCTTCCTTCTCTCTCTTCCTTCCACCACCTGCAGGGCTCCTATTTGCTTCTACTACACCCAGTATCCTCTCTTCCTTCCACCGCCTGCAGGGCTCCTATTTGCTCCTACTACACCCAGTATCCTCTCTTTCTTCTATCACCTGCAGTGCCATTCTTTATGTTTCTATGACATCCAWTATCCAATGTAAGCTAATTTAATCTTAATGAAAGTTTAAACTGAATTAGTTTTGTTGACACAATTTTTAGATCTGATTATGAAGAAGACAATGTAGCACTGAGAATAAGATGCTTAACTGAAGCATTACCAGAAAATAGGTAACTATTTGAATGATAGTCATATACTCCTGCATATCTTATTGTTACTGCCCTTTTGCACAGCAGTCATGGCTGCTGACAAGTATTTCTACCTCCACACTTCAGAAAAAATATCAATTGAAGATAAAATCATATTTTCCAGGTGGGCCATAAACGAAGGTTATTGGCATCTCTAGTACCTTACCAGCACAGTACTTTGCATCTTTTGGTCAATAATACTTAGTACAGATTATATTTCATGTTTCAGATTCTATAGGCTACTGCACAAGCACCAGTTTGATGCTGCAGAAAAATTTGCAAGGCAGTTTGGTTTAGATGTGGAGGTAAAATGACTTTTTTTAACATGACCTTGACCTTTTCAGATATAAGAAGATATGAGGAAATGCCTTGCTTTACTGAGACAGTATTATCTCCATTATAACTTAGAATTGATTAAAAAGAATATTTAGAGATAAGTGCTGATGGATAAAATGTGGTTAACCAATCCATTATTATACATTATTAGACATCATTTAACATTGATTGTTCTCATTTATCAAGATTTTTTTCATGACATTTTCGTGTCATTACCAATCACTGACAGTTATGATACATTGATCAGTCATTGGTTGTCTCCCCAGGGGGTGTACTCGGGTGGGCAACATGACGGGGAGGTCYGAYGTATTTTTTTGGGTTGACAATTTTCGTTCCCRGTATTTTTTTGGGTCAAGAGACCAGCCACATATTTTTTTAGGTCTTGAAATGAAACCTGTATTTTTTTGGGTTGTCACATCTYCGAGTTCGATTTTTGTATCAGAAAATTATTTGAAAAGCCTGCTGATCAATTATTCAGGTTTGAAGTATTCAAGTCTTGTATTTTTTGGGTCAGAAGTTTGGATGCCATGTATTTTTTTGGGTGTAAAATTTTAGGTCTGAGTATTTTTTGGGGGTTGCAATATGAAGCTCTGTCAGACCCCCTGTCATGTTACCCACCCAAGTACACCCCCTGGGGTTGTCTCATTAGTACTTAGCTTCTCTCAATTCACGCTCCTTTTTGATTACTTCCTTTGTGTTGTAATCTACAGCTTGTGTTTAAAGTCAAAGCTAACACCCTGTTGGATAAAGTATCTCTCTGGAGCAATGAAAATGATCAAGAAGAGTTCAATGTTAATGATCTGAAGGAATGTTTTGCTAAAATTAAGGTGAGAATAATTACACAAAACACAGAAGATAATTCTAGGCTTCTTTTCTCCTTCATTCCTTTTTTCTTCCTTCATTCCTTTTTTCTTCCTTCATTTTTAATCTCATTCCTTCCTTGCCTCCATTGTTCTTTCTTTTATTCCTTTTTTGAATTCCTTCCATCCTTTTTCCTTTTCTTCTTTACATTCATTCGTTTTACAAACACCCATCTAGTATAGGAGCAGGTGTTGCTCAGTTGGTTAGTGCGCATCCTTTGAAGCTAGAGGTCCACAGTCCGATCCTCAGAATATCCATGTCTGTTTTGACTTCTCTCTAATCAGTGTAGCTTCAGCTTTGAATACTCCTAAAACAGAGCACTGTTGGAAAGAGGGAGTGAAGTGTGCACCATCACCTTCCTGGGATACTAGCCACTTTGCTGAAGGAAAATTACCAAACAGATGTTAAATATTATTTCACTATTTTGCATTTTTGAAGGATGATGAATATGTGGCTAACTGCTGCCTTCAAGCAGTTCTTCCAACAATGGAGGATACATATGATATGCTACACTATGCAAGGGAAAGAGTAAGTAATAAAATATGGCAGTAAACCAAAGGTTAAGCATGRTATCAAAAAAGATAAAAATAATCTTACTAACAGAACGAATGAGGAACACACTTCAAACCTAAAACTAGAATATTTTTCAACATGCAACTTARTGTACAAGAAATGTTTTCTGTTTATYTTAACRATACTTTTCAGGTRTCACAAAAAGACATGACCAATGGACTGACCTACTCTCCAACCAAAAAGCTCCAACAGGTAATTTATTTCTTAGGCTTCTTTCTGCTTTTGCAAGTTACTCTAATAATATGTCATGATATTTTGCTCCAAATTGAGTGATTTTATTTATCAATCAACTTGTGGTCTTTTCAGTCAGAAAAATGGCAGTTTGAACGTACTAATATAATTATCGTTGAAGTGTGACCCGCGTTTGATGTCTTGTTCAGCGACTAGCATTTCAACGACTGTCAATCAAAAACTGAAATTTAGAAAACAATATCTTGATGGAGAGTTTAGACTGAATTAAAGATGTTAATCCTCTAAAGTGTTAACATGTTAACATGTTATATTTGTACAAAATAGTCAAGCWGTTTCTTAAACCTTTTAAAATATTCAGATTCTTCCTGTTCTGGACAAACTTGCTACATATGAGATGGCTTACAGCATTCAAAATTTCAGGTAAACTAGCTCTCTGATGTTTCTTTTCTTTAGAATAAAATGGGATGAGAAAGGAATGGATGTTTGAAAATGGATGGGGAAATAATTATGAATGAATGAAAAGGGGTCAATTTTTTTCTTTTTTCTCTTTTCCACGCTCTTCTCTTGCCTTACCAAAACTTTAATTCAAGTTCATTTTGTCTCCAGTGGTGCACGATGGCATAGCTTTCGTAATGCTGATCTCTTAGCAGAGGTATGGCCTTGTCTTGAGCACGGTGAAATATGCAGTGCTGTTACTATCTGGAGGAGACATCAGGTAAGTAATGCTGCCAATCTTTCAAAACCATTGAATAATAATACTTTA